AAAAAAAAAAAAAAAAAAAAAAAAAAAAAAAAAAAAAAAAAAAAAGCATCAGAATGGAATAGATTTCCCCTTGGTTCACTAGTAAAAAGACAAATGCTTTTTTTAAAATATTATATTACCCATAGGAATAGTGGGGACACTATCATAAGATACATGTACTAATGACTAGACAATTGTAATATATGTAACACTTACAGCCCCGGTGATAGACTAGCCCTAAACAACCGTATTTTCTGTCACACCACTTACATGTACCACCCAAGCTGAGGGAAACTAGAGTGAACACTAGACTCAGGGAAGCTAATTTACAGGCTGCTAATAGCATTTGAGACAATCCGGCCTGAAAATCTCCAGCTAGGCAGGCATGTGTAGGTTCAACCATAAGTATATTCTCCAAAATGTGAACTGGGAAATAGAACAACTCAGTCTTGAGGTTAAGATGGTCCTAGGTTATCCTAGGAGTGCATAAATGGTTACAATCAGAAACATCTACTAATGCAACTCACATCGCAACTTTATAACAGAGTAAAGAAACACTGAGTATCACAATATGTGTAAGAATATACATTTGATAAAATTCATACACTCAAATCTACAGAATAAAATTGCATAGAACTTAGTACATACACACACACACACACACACTCACACACACAAAGAGTATAGGTAAAACTGGGAAATCTGAGCATAATAATTGCATTGTATCCATGTCAATATCCTAGTTGTGATCTTATAATTTTCCAAAGTGTTACCATTGCAGGAAACTGGGAAATGTATACAAGGAATCTCTCTGTATTGCATCTTAAAACTGCATGTAAATGTGCAATTATCTCTACTAAAAAGTCAATTAAAAAGAGAGAGGGCAAGAGATGGATAGAGGAGAGAAGAGATCAATTTTACCAAAACAAAATGGCATTAATCCATCAAAATTTGGTAAGTTAAAAATATGGAACATTAATTTTACTAAAACCGTCATTGCTACTCTATTCTCCCAAAGCTTTAGTATAGTCTGTAAATATTTTAAAGTTTCAAATTTTTCATTTTCAGAAGATCATAACCTTTTTAAGGATGCTGACAACATGGTAATATGATGAATGCAATACTAACATATATAAAATAGAGTCAGTGGTATCATATGACATGTAACACCTAAAGTAAAAAACCTATGTCCAAAGATTTTCCTTAACCTACATTATACAAACCTTGATGCTTGATGTGCTATTTTTGTTTCAGTTATCGTATTACAAGGAATCATTTTGCCAAAGAAAAAAACTTCACTAACAAGAGAGAAAAGGGAATTGCCAGTCTAATAAAGAGTGTCCCCCAAACTCCACAGCAAACATCATGCTTAAGTGGTGATGTGAACAGATATGAATTCTGTCATATACTCTTTACATTAAAGTTAAGATGCCCACTATCACTGCTTATATTTAACATGTATTGGGATCCCACCCAAGGCCATTTGAAGTTTTAATTTAATTAATTATATTTAATTTTAATTCAATATACTTAATACTTGAATTAAGTATACACACTCTTAATTATACTTTAAAAAAATTATTTACTTATCTTTTTAGAGGCGAGGTCTTGATATGTTACCCAGTCTGGGCTCAAACTCCTGGACTCAAGTGATCCTCCCACCTCAGCTTCCCAAGTACCTGGGAATACAGGCATGTACCACTGTGCCCAGCTTCTTAAGTACACTTTCAATTAAACATACTTAAAAGTAGAAGAATTTAAAAGAAACAAAACTGCCACTATTCCTAGATTATGTGATTCTTTGGAAATGCATGGTAAATTTTAGAACAAATGAGAGTCCACCAAAGTCACTGAATTCGAGATGGATAGCAGAGAACGAAGAGCTCACGATGGGTGTCATCAACTGGAGTTCTAAGAAAGCAGATGAGACAACTCATTAGCACAAGTAAGAGAAGCAAAAAGACTGAGTCTAGAGAGAAGACCCCAGACTCCTACAGGCTCTCCCACCACATTATATCAAGGACTAGTCTCTGGGAACCCAGCCACACCAGGTGCTGGCTCTTTGGCTCCCATAGTTCCTTCCCAGGATACTCACCAGGACCACCTGTCTAACCTAACTTGATAAACATCTGCAGCTGGTGTTTACAAGAGCCCAACTCAGCCAGGCGTGGTAGTGTGCACCTGTAATCCCACCTACTCCAGAGTCTAAGGCAGGAGGATCACTTGAGCCCAGGAACAGCCAGAGCAACACAGGGAGGCCTCATCTCAAAAAAAAAAAAAAAAAAAACCCCACTAAAACCTACATACATACAAAAGATGGACACATCTTCAGAACTAAAATAAGTTATTATAGTTAGCTCTAACTTCTACTTAAAATTCTAATTTTTATTTATTTATAGTCAGTTTTAACAGTCCCACTATCAGAGGGAAGCAGTATGGTAATCTAGGGCTGCAAAGAATCTCTACAGAGCTCTTAAGTTTGGAATGTTCTATAAATCTTTGTAGTAGGTATACCTTTCCAGTGAGATTTTGCTTAGACTACCATTAAAATAAGATGTAATATTATGAACACAGAATAACAGATAACCAAGAAGAATTACCCAGTAGTGGGATGCCAACTTTTTCTCTGAGACAGGGTCTTAGTGCAATCATGGCTCACTGCAGCAGCCTCGACCTCCCTGGGTTCAGGTGATCCTCCTACCTCAGCTTCCCAAGTAGCTGGAACTACAAGCGCATGCCACCATGCCTGGCTGATTTTTGTATTTTTTTGTAGAGATGAGGTTTCACCATGTTACCCAAGCTGGTGTTCAACACCTGAGCTCAATCGCCTGCCTCAAGCTCCCAAAGTGCTGGGAGGACAGACGTCAGCCACTGCTCCTGGCTGGGATGCCAACTTTTGCCCAATGAGAGGAAACCAGACAACATGGCACCATTGTTGAGTTTTTAAACCATAAAATTAATATGAACCTAATAAAGTAAAATAATATACAGTGGCATATGTAAAAGAGTTTGATGTTTTCAATAATGACCCAGCCTACATGTGGCAGCACTACTGAAGGAAGTTCAGTACCTTTTGTGTTCTTTCTTGTTTCTGAGACAAAGGATTTGGATGATGACAGCACTACCTTATGTTTCCTTAAACGTAGGCTCTGTTGCAGAAACCCTACTTCTTTCATAATTCAGAACACGCTGTCCAATATGGTAGCCACTAGTCATGTGTGGCTATGTCATGTGGAGCTTGAACAAGGGCTTCGCACACTATAAGTGTAAAATCACACTGGATTTCCAAGACGTAGTGCAAGAAATACATTAAAATCTCATTAAAAATTTTTAATTGATTAAATGTTGAAATAATATGTTTATATTGTGTTATTTGGAATATATTATTAAAATTAATTTCGCCTGTTTTTTTTTCACTTTTTGAAATATGTCAACTAGAAAATTTAAAATTATACATGTGGCTCACTTTTTTGGCTCACATTGTATAACTACCAGACAGCACTGATTTAAAAAGTCAAAAGACATTTTAAATGATGTGAGTATATGCAACATTTAAAACATTAATAAATATGTCTATAAGACCCTTTGTATGCCATTTGATAACAAATTCCTATAAAGACAGGTATAATCTTGAAACAGTGGTACAAAAGAGGTACCATTTATTTCATTCTAACTTTCTGACAGGGATAGTGCTAAATGCTTCAGGTAAATAATCCGAAATCCTCCAGCAGGAAAAAGTAATTTGAATCGGGGAAATGGAGCAATTTTTCCAAGCCACACAGCTCAGAAGTGCTAGATCTAGACTCTGAAGACAGCTCTGAGGCCAATGCCAGTACTCTGTGGTATTTCAAGTAGAGGAACTAGAAGAAACCCTGTTTGGAAGTGGCCATCTCTTATGAAGTTGATCATTATCCACTTTGAGCAGGGACTCTCCAGGCCATATGCCTATCATTAAGAATGTGCTCCTAATTAGCTGGCACGATGGTGTGCACCTGTGGTCCCAGCTACTCAGGAGGCTGAACAGGGAGAATCACTTTAGCCCAGGAGTTTGAGGCTGCAGTGAGCCACTGCACTCCAGCCTGGGAGACAGAGCGAAATGTTGACTCAAAACAAAAGAAGAGGAGGAAGAAGGTGCTCCTTTTCAGTTTTGGATGCTGTAGAGTGATTCGTTTTGAAGACCAGCACACCTACTCAACTAGTCCAAGGTGCCCACCGCTCATCCTGCTCTAAGAAAGGATTTACAGGAGTGGCGTGTTGGCCATGCAACAAAGCATGTCAGAGGCAGTCAAAACAATGATGCCAAATGAGGTGTGGTCAGTTGCCTGCAGTGCCAGCTCTCCCTCTGCTTAATCTTCAGTCTGAACTAAGGTTCTGACTCTTGTCCACTCCTGAAATGCACTAGTAACAACAGCACTAATGGAATGTGAAGCCCTGCAATATGTGATTAGTAAGCAACTTCCAGCAGAAAGAGGCAACCACACCGTCTACAAGCAGACTAGGCAGAGCGCTAAGCCAGGCTGCCAAAAGAAATTGTCTCCTAAAACCCCAAATACCCAATGCCACCAAGCTTTGGAAAAATGAGGCATGCAAACCTTTGGCACTCCTTCATCCTTCTTCTCCCCCAAAACCCTCTTAGTCAAATACGTGATGGAAGTCTACAGACATTCTACTCAGCACCACCACAAGTGCCCACGAAATAGCAATGGTCCTTCCTGCAGCAGCTGAAAAAGTGTAAGTGAAGGGTACAGATGATAGTGAGTATATTTGGGAGGGAAGGAGGAAAACCACCCAGAAAGAAAATACACACACACACACACACACACACACACACAGAGAGAGAGAAGGCAACAGTGAAATTCAGACCTGAACCTAGGAATTTTTGAATGGCTCAGAATGGGACACTCTGTCATCTCTGATTTAATTAGAAGACTGTTTTCAGGATGCTGAAGGCCTAGGTTCATAATCAGGCACTTACGTAATCCTCCATATTGAGCCCTTGTTTCTCAACAGAACTTTTCACCTCCATGGAAAACTTCTCAAACTCAGGTTTCACTGTCCTCAGTAGGGTGACTGTCTGGAGGGACGAGTATGCTTGCTTAGCTTCAAAGTCGTGTTTGTCTCCTCTCTTCCACGAGCCATCTCCTATGAAAGAAATAAAAATATTTGCAATTCCAAGCTAGCCACCAAAAACAGGCCATTCTGCCTTTACAACCCCGCATGTTACTTTTGGCACCAGGAAGAGAAGTATTGTCATAGTTCTGCCCTTAGGTATGATGCGATGTCAAGACCATTAAAGGAGAAGAAGGCCCTTTGCACATGTGTTCCTTTGAAATGTGAGCAAGAAAGAAGAGTACTGTTGAGGTAATAGCCTTGTAATAACCATGTAACTGCAATTTTCAGCCCTACTCCACCCCCAAAATTGCAGCACTATAAAAGAAAGAATTCAGTTTTTATTCCTTGCCATTCACACTTCTTTTTTAATACCTACGATCAAATGTGCAGGTGAATCAAGTGGCTAGTGTGGCATAATAAACCTGATGTTATGTGTGGGTGGGATGGCAGGTCACAGCGACGCACGACAATGGATATGCACAACTATTAGACAGTTAGTGATGTTACTCATAAGTGGGAGTTGAACAATGAGAACACATGGACACAGGGAGGGGAACATCACACACCAGGGCCTGTCAGGAGGTGGGGGCTGGGGGAGGGATAGCATTAGGAGAAATACCTAATGTAGATGACGGGTTGATGTGTGCAGCAAACCACCATGGCACGTGTATACCAACGTAACAAACCTGCATGTTCCGTACATATATCCCAAAACTTAAAGTATAACTTTAAAAAAAGAAAGTTAGTGCTGTTAAAAAAGTTTGAGATTATTGATATTTCTTGAATCTTTTCACGGTGAACAGTAGCTTAAGTGAACTCAAAGATTCGTGTCTCTCTAGTGCTAGCAACATCAGAGAAATTATTTATTAGACGATGTCCATTAGTGCATTAGTGGTAATGAGATAAAAATTGCTAACATTTATTAAGTACATATATGATAATTGCTAACATTTATTAAGTATATATATAATAATAACATTGCTAACATTTATAAGCACATATGTAATAATAATAATAAAATAAATAATAAAATAATAAAAATAAAATAATAATAATAAAAGCTCTATTTGTTGAGCACTTTATATGCATAAAAATAATTACTCCTCACAAGACCCCGCAATATGGGTACCATGATCCTTTCTATTTTACAGATAAGGAAACTGATGCGGCGAGAAGCTGGGTATCCCAGTCTTTCACAGGTCTCTCTTTTACAAAAGCAAAAAATTACGTGGGTAAGAATAATTACTTTTCTCTTCGTTATTTTATTTTCAAGAAAACATGTGGCTTACAGGGCCCCAAAAGGCAAGGTGGACCTCTAACTTTTGACAATAAGCTATTTTTCTATGAACTATTATTAGGATTCCTGGTGATCTCTGAAAATACAAGGAACTCCACCTGCTGGAGTCCAGCGCCAGCCCCCTCATCCTTGGCAGAGGCCTCGAACCCAACAGCTAAGCCGTGAGAATGTCTCTGGGATATACGGCCAGGACTTTGTGGCACTCACTCTACTCTTCCTAAAGAAGTTTAACAAAGACTTGGTGGCTTTGGAATTTCTATGACAGTATGAATCAGACAGACAAACATGTATGAACTATACAAGGTCCTGAGACTGGCAGGGTGAGCATTGTAAATACAGTCTCCACCACATTCAATGAGAGGCTGAGGGTGTGACACATAAACAACTGAAGTTATTACAGGTAGGACCACAGCTTACTACGGGGGGTACAAGAAACAACACAGAGCAGAGAAGAAGAGGCAATGAGCTCTAACCTGGGGGAAGGCTGCATGTGAGGAAGAGGCATTAGAAAGGTCCTAACTGTGTGAACAGGATTTTAATAGGAGGGGAGGAGGGTGGAAGGCAAGCTTGGCTGAGCCTACGTCACAGCACAGGCAAAGGTGCAAATGTGCCTGACAGCCAGCAGGCAGCTGGGCACTTAGTCTAGAGCCCGAGAAAAGGCAGAGACAAAGAAAATGTTTGCAGAGGCATCTGTATAATCATAATCCTAATAATAGCAACCATTTATTAATTGCTTACATGTGCCAGGGAGCTGTTAAAAGATAAATAAGACGCAGCTGAGGACAGAATTCATTAGGAACTAAATCTGTGCTCATTGAGCACAAGATTAAATTTCAGGCCACTGAGCAAAACTTGACAGTCTTCCTCCTCTCCCATGAAACCTCCCAGACACTGAGGAGGCAACGGTGTGGGCAGAGTCATACCCATGCTCGGGCCAGTGAGCCATCAACAGGCAAAACCAGCTGGATGCTCAATCATCAAGATACAGCATGGCCTTTGTTAAGAGGCCAAGTCCATCGCCAGGAAGACCCCAAATTCTAAGAATGCTCAGGACATCTTTGTCCAATGGAGGAGCCCATTGCTTGCAGGCATGCAATAAATAGTTATTGATTCATTTTTAATTGACTCAAAGTATCAAGACTCAGTAGAGGTGATGTCTCAAGCAAAGAGGGTAGGAGTTTCAGCTCTGGAAAAAAAGTTTTCTCCAGGGGTCTAAGAAGGGAAATGCTTAACTCTACAGACTTGTATGCTACGTAATTAGAAAATACACATAGAACTAGAAACTGCAACTATCTCGGGAAACCAAATGGACAAAAACTTTTTTGTAATTCACAAAGAAGCAAAATCCAGTATAATAAATCTGTCTACCACAATCTAAAAGGTAATGGTTTTGGAGTTTTGTTTTCCTTTTTTTTTCTTTTCTTTTTTTCATTTTTTTCTTTATTTTATTTTATTTTATTTATGTATGTATGTATTTATTTATTTATTTATTTATTTATTTATTTATTTATTGAGATACAGTCTCTCTCTGTGACCCAGGCTGGAGTGCAGTGGCATGATCTCAGCCCACTGCAACCTTTGCCTCCAGGGTTCAAGCAATTCTCCTGCCTCAGCCTCCCAAGTAGCTGGGATTACAGACGTGCACCATCACATCCAGTTAATTTTTGTACTTTTATTAGGGACACGGTTTCACTGTGTTGGCCAGGCTGGTTTCGAACTCCTGACCTCAAGTGATCCACCTGCCTCAGCCTCCCAAAGTGTTGGGATTACAGGCGTGAGCCACCAAGCCTGGCCTGGAGTTTTGCTTCCTAGAAAAAAAGGATGGAAATAGTAGTGCTTAATAAATTTAAGCCAAGCTAAATAGGTATCTATTCTAACCATAACTGATACTATGACTTCCTGCTTTTGTGGGCATTTCTAACTGTGGTGTGTCAGTAACTTCTCCCATATCAGGGCTGTTGAGCATTAGGAAAGCAGAGGTCGGCTTGGCATGATGCCCCATCAGTGGGGACAAACTTAATGCAGTAGACAACTGGGTGCCTCTGGAGATTTACGAGCAGAACAGAAGAGTGATATGATGAGAATCAGCCTTGGGAAATAGCAGTGGATTAGGGTGGGGGAGACACCAAGCGTTCACAGCCACAGTAATCCAGGCAAGAGGTTAGGGAAGGTTATATGTGGGAAGTCACACCAAAAAAGTTAAAAATGGTTCTCGGGATGGTTACAATTATGCACAAGTTTTCTTTTCTTTTCTTTTCTTTTTGGTATTTTTCTGAATATAGTAAATTTTCAACAATAAGCCTTGAATTTTATTATCAAAAAAAGAGAGCCCTTGAGAACAAAGGCAGAGTGCGGTGCATGAGGAATCTTAAGACTGTACAACAGTTAGGGAGTGAGGGACAACAGAGAGGGAGGCACGTCACAGATGACGCCAAGGAGAAAAAGGAAAACAGGTTATCAGTAAAGCAGCAGCAGAGCCAGGTGGAGGAGGAGGGGGTTAGGAGGACATGGAAATGATGATTTCAGTTAGGGGTATGGTAAATCCAAGGCGACTGCAGAATGTCCAAGTGACCACCAGGCTAAAGGTGGAAACACTAGTCCGAAGTCAAAAAGAGGAGTGAGGATTAGAGACCGTGCTGGGTGTCATTTCCACACGGCTCCAAGTTAGAAACCAGGGGCTGCCTCGCCAGACATGAAAGACAGTGCAGAAAGCAGAGGGAGAAGGGCAGAGCACAGACACTTTGGGGGGATGCTATTTTTAGTGGGCAAGAGGAGTAAGAGGAGACAGAGAGGAGCTAACAGAGAACCAGAAGAATGCTGTGTCGCCAAAGCTAAGAGCATAGGGTTACCAGAAAGGGATGGATGACAACAAGATTGAATGCTCTAGAGCAGTGCTGTCTCACAGAGGAGCCACTAGCCACATGTGTGACTATTTAAATGCAATTAAAATTAAAAATTCAGCTCTTCAGTCACACTTGCCATATTTAAAGCACTCAACGTCGCATGTGGCTAGTGGCTACCATATTGGGCAGCACAGACTAGAACATAGCCATCATTGCAGAAAGTTCCACTGGGTGGCACAGCTTTGGAGGCATGGAAGCATGGTCTCAGGTAAGGCTAATGGATTTGGGCATGAGAAGCTCACTGGTGACCTTGAGGACAGCACTTGCAGAGGAGTGGTGGATACTAATGCCGTATTAAACACCCAAGCTTGCACTGGGTCCAGAATACTTATGAAAGAGGAAAGTAGTCTGCTCAGCACCAAGCCCTATGCCCAGCAATCCTGTGGCTGAAGAGCTGCAGCCAATAAAGGGTACCCATGTTGGGGTAACTGTGCCATCCTGTAGTTCCCGGTACTTATGAGGACCTAGCACATAGTAAATGTTCAATATATATTACCTGAATGAGTAGCTGAGCCATCAGAATCTGTCCAAGAAATGAATGCTTAGCATTCACCTGGCCTGGCCCCACAGTACTGTGGCTCTTCAGCTCTGGTGGTCATTTAAGGAGAGAAAATAACTGCCTTCCTTGGCTTACCCCCACCCTCTCCAAACGACCCACTGTCACATGCTTGCCATGGCTAGGCTGGTCCAATTACACCCTTTGTTAATAACAGCACCCCCTAATGGAGGCTACCATTGTGCACACTCCACATAGCTGTTCTAACCTGCAGTATTTCTTTCTTTAATTCTCATAACAACTCTTTGAAAAAGATTTAAGTACAATCCCTATT